AATTTAATTATTTTATTTTTAATATCCATTTATCTTTATAAATATTATATTTGAAATAGTTTCTTGCATGCTGTGATCAGTAAACTTAGGTAAAAAATGATTTGACGCATCTTTTTTTGTGAATGCATGATATATTTGAGTCTTCTTGTATGTTCACATAAAAATTTATAAAATAGAATTGTCGAATATGACAAGTTTACACTCGAATAGAGCGGCTCGACAAGATAAATCCAACGAGCCCAATATCACTCAATTCTGACATCATTAAGAGACTCAAATGTCTAGTAAACGTCATATGATCAGGGGAAGCTCTCTGAGTCGTCCGATCAAAATGATTCATATTTCTGCATTAATTACACCCAGAACACTATAAATAAAACCCCATCTCTCTCATGAGAGGGGGCTGAAGTCTGGAGAGAGAGTCTGGTACCTTAAGGAGAAGCTGTAGTTCAACATCACCACCGATCGTCGTCGAACATCGCTGATCTCCGTCGTCGACCATCGCCGACCGCCGAAGACCATCACCGATCGTCGCCGATCGTCGACCTCTGTCAACCGTCATCGATTACCACCAACCAGGCGCTGTTAGTCAATGTCGTAGTCTGAAAAATATAGTTAATATTTCTTGTCTGTGAGATAAGAGATTTCTGTAATCATCAATCAATAGTGGATTTTCGCAACTGGGTCAGATCCCGTGGTTTTTCCCTTTACGGGCTCCACATAAAAACTTTTGGAGTAGTCACTGTTTTTTTTTTCATCTGAATCTGTGCAGAATATTTGTACAATGTTAAGACAATAATTTGTTACTCTACCGCCTCAAATTTTCTGACATGATTCAATAGTCATTGTCATGATTTCGTTATCTAACTTTCAAGCCTTCTAAGATGATATAACTGATAAAGGAGAAAAAATTTTGTTTTATTTTCTTATATTTTTTACAATAAACAAAAACTCCCATTTAATAGTGTATAGCAAAGTAGTTATTTACTGCATTTCTCGTGGATCGGAGGGCTCAAAATGAGGAATGTGTCAAAGGGGAACCTCATATAGATAGGGAAATAAAAAAATTAGAGTAATCGTGCGATAGCGGTCTATCGACTACAGATTGATCAGCCGACCAACGTAGAGGTTGCCC